CCTCTCTGCTGTCCAGGTCCCGTCCTGTGTCCTGCTGTTCAGGGACTGAGATAACTAACTGGTGGATTACTCCTGCCTGTCCCATGGCATGTTGTCCTGCTGTCCTGCTGTTCAGGACCAGACTAACTGTATGGTTCCTCTCTGCCGTCCCAGTCCCAGGTCTGTTGTCCTGCTGTTCAGGACCAGATAACTAACTGTAGGTCCCTCTGCTGTCCCCAAGGTCCCAGTCTGTTGTCCCTGTTCGGACCAGATAACTAACTGTATGGTTCCCCCCTGTCCCGGTCCCAGGTCCTGTTGTCCTGCTGTTCAGGACCAGATAACTAACTGTATGGTTCCTCTCTGCCTGTCCCAGGTCCCAGGTCCTGTTGTCCTGCTGTTCAGGACCAGATAACTAACTGTATGGTTCCTCTCTGTCTGTCCCAGGTCCCAGGTCCTGTTGTCCTGCTGTTCAGGACCAGATAACTAACTGTATGGTTCCTCTCTGTCTGTCCCAGGTCCCAGGTCCTGTTGTCCTGCTGTTCAGGACCAGATAACTAACTGTATGGTTCCTCTCTGCCTGTCCCAGGTCCTGTTGTCCTGCTGTTCAGGACCAGATAACTAACTGTATGGTTCCTCTCTGCCTGTCCCAGGTCCCAGGTCCTGTTGTCCTGCTGTTCAGGACCAGATAACTAACTGTATGGTTCCTCTCTGTCTGTCCCAGGTCCCAGGTCCTGTTGTCCTGCTGTTCAGGACCAGATAACTAACTGTATGGTTCCTCTCTGCCTGTCCCAGGTCCCTGTTGTCCTGCTGTTCAGAACCAGATAACTAACTGTATGGGTTCCTCTCTGTCTGTCCCAGGTCCCAGGTCCTGTTGTCCTGCTGTTCAGACCAGATAAACTAACTGTAATGGTTCCTCTCTGTCTGTCCCAGGTCCCAGGTCCTGTTGTCCTGCTGTTCAGGACCAGATAAACTAACTGTATGGTTCCTCTCTGCCTGTCCCAGGTCCCAGGTCCTGTTGTCCTGCTGTTCAGGACCAGATAACTAACTGTAATGGTTCCTCTCTGCCTGTCCCAGGGTCCCAGGTCCTGTTGTCCCTGCTGTTCAGGACCAATAACTAACTGTATGGGTTCCTCTCTGCCTGTCCCAGGTCCCAGGGTCCTGTTGTCCTGCTGTTCAGGACCAGATAACTAACTGTATGGTTCCTCTCTGCCTGTCCCAGGTCCCAGGTCCTGTTGTCCTGCTGTTCAGGACCAGATAACTAACTGTATGGTTCCTCTCTGCCTGTCCCAGGTCCCAGGTCCTGTTGTCCTGCTGTTCAGGACCAGATAACTAACTGTATGGTTCCTCTCTGCCTGTCCCAGGTCCCAGTCCTGTTGTCCTGCTGTTCAGGACAGATAACTAACTGTATGGTTCCTCTCTGCCTGTCCCAGGTCCTGTTGTCCTGCTGTTCAGGACCAGATAACTAACTGTATTGGTTCCTCTCTGCCTGTCCCAGGTCCCAAGGTCCTGTTGTCCTGCTGTTCAGGACCAGATAACTAACTGTATGGTTCCTCTCTGCCTGTCCCAGGTCCCAGGTCCTGTTGTCCTGCTGTTTCAGGACCAGATAACTAACTGTATGGTTCCTCTCTGTCTGTCCCAGGTCCAGGTTCCTGTTGTCCTGCTGTTCAGGACCAGATAACTAACTGTATGGTTCCTCTCTGCCTGTCCCAGGTCCCAGGTCCTGTTGTCCTGCTGTTCAGGGACCAGATAACTAACTGTATGGTTCCTCTCTGCCTGTCCCAGGTCCCAGGTCCTGTTGTCCTGCTGTTCAGGACCAGATAACTAACTGTATGGTTCCTCTCTGTCTGTCCCAGGTCCCAGGTCCTGTTGTCCTGCTGTTCAGGACCAGATAACTAACTGTATGGTTCCTCTCTGCCTGTCCCAGGTCCCAGGTCCTGTTGTCCTGCTGTTCAGGACCAGATAACTAACTGTATGGTTCCTCTCTGCCTGTCCCAGGTCCCAGGTCCTGTTGTCCTGCTGTTCAGGACCAGATAACTAACTGTATGGTTCCTCTCTGCCTGTCCCAGGTCCTGTTGTCCTGCTGTTCAGGACCAGATAACTAACTGTATGGTTCCTCTCTGCCTGTCCCAGGTCCCAGCCCGCTGTGGCATGACTGTCAGAGACTCGCTGAAGAAGGCTTTAATGATGAGGGGCCTAATCCCAGAGTGCTGTGCGGTCTACAGGATCCAGGATGGGTAAAACACACGCGTATACCTTGGCCAAAAGATCCAATCTCCACTTTGTGCCTTTTTACATTCCACATACAGTCTATTGATGCTCCTGCTCAACTTGGTAATCGTTTCAGCACGGTGGATACCAGTATGAGGTCAATGTATAGGACACAGTATGAGGTCAATGTATAGGACACAGTATGAGGTCAATGGATAGGACACAGTATGAGATCAATGGATAGGACACAGTATGAGATCAATGTATAGGACACAGTATGAGGTCAATGTATAGGACACAGTATGAGGTCAACGTATAGGACACAGTATGAGGTCAATGTATAGGACACAGTATAAGAGGTCAATGTATAGGACACAGTATAAGAGGTCAATGTATAGGACACAGTATAAGAGGTCAATGTATAGGACACAGTATAAGAGGTCAATGTATAGGACACAGTATAAGAGGCCAATGTATAGGACACGGTATAAGAGGTCAATGTATAGGACACAGTATAAGAGGTCAATGTATAGGACACAGTATAAGAGGTCAATGTATAGGACACAGTATGAGGTCAATGTATAGGACACAGTATGAGGTCAATGTATAGGACACAGTATGAGGTCAATGTATAGGACCAGTATGAGGGCAATGTATGGACACAGTATGAGGTCAATGTATAGGACACAGTATGAGGTCAATGTAATGACACGTATGAGAGGTCAATGTATAGGACACAGATGAAGGTCATGTTAGGACACGTATGGGTCAATTATAGGACATATGAGTCAATGTATAGACACATATAAAGGTCATATAGACACATCTAGTCTGTATTGGACCAGTATGAGTCAATGTATAGGACACTATAGGTCATGTATGACACAGTAATGGTCAATGTATGGACACGATGAGGTCAATGTATAGGACACAGTATGAGGTCAATGTATAGGACACAGTATGAGGTCAATGTATAGGACACAGTATGAGGTCAATGTATGAACGTAGAGTCAATGTATAGGACACAGTATAGAGTCAATGTATAGGACACAGTATGAGGTCAATGTATAGGACACAGTATGAGGTCAATGTATAGGACACAGTATGAGGTCAATGTATAGGACACAGTATGAGGTCAATGTATAGGACACAGTATAAGAGGTCAATGTATAGGACACAGTATGAGGTCAATGTATAGGACACAGTATGAGGTCAATGTATAGGACACAGTATGAGGTCAATGTATAGGACACAGTATGAGGTCAATGTATAGGACACAGTGACATAATTCAGCTTATATTTTATTGTACTTTGTTTGACAAGGTAAATCATTGAGAACGCATTCTCTTCTACAATAATGACCCTAATGTGTACTAAACTCAACCGCAACCCAGTTAACTCCTCTTCCTGTCACCTGTCTCAGAGAGAAGAAGCCTCTAGGCTGGGACACAGACATCTCCTGGCTGACGGGGGAGGAGCTACACGTGGAAGTGCTGGAGAACGTTCCGCTGACCACACACAACTTTGTGAGTATAACTGGAACTCTAGAACTACAATTTGACATGACTGGGCAGGGGGGCGGTATCCGTGTGTGGGCCTGGGAGGGCATAGGCCCGCCCACTGGGGAGCCAGGCCCGCCCACTGGGGAGCCAGGCCCACCCACTGGGGAACCAGGCCCACCCACTGGGGAGCCAGGCCCAACCAATCAGAATTAGTTTTGGTCTGCGGTTGTGAGGCCGGTTGGACATACTGCCAAATTCTCTAAAACGACGTTGGAGGCGGCTTATGGTAGAGAAATGAACATTCAATTCTCTGGCAACAGCTCTGGTGGACATTCCTGCAGTCAGCATTCCAGTTGCACGCTCCCTCAAAACTTGAGACATCTGTGGCATTGTGTTGTGTGACAAAACTGCACATTTTTAAAGTGGCCTTTTATTGTCCCCAGCAAAAGGTGCACCTGTGTAATGATCATGCTGTTTAATCAGCTTCTTGATGTGCCAACACCTGGCAGGTGGATGGATTATCTTGTCAAAGGAGAAATGCTCACTAATAGGGATGCATATGGTCCATTTCTGGGATTTTTTTTATTTCAGCTCATGAAACATGGGACCAACGCTTTACATGTTGCATCTATATTTTTGTTCAGTGTAGAACTATGGAACCGGAACTATGGAACCGGAACTATGGAACCGGAATCATAGAACCAGCTGGGACTGCGGTGGGATGTTACTGGGAAAAGCCACTAGAAATACTAACTAGAGAAGGAGGAACTGTCCAAACAGTTCAAGGTTCAGTCCATTGTTGAGTTGACCCTCATGTTTGTTTCTGGCCATGCATGTAGACCAGGCAAATAAACTGTTGATATATCAGAGCAGGTTCATTCACTGAATGAAAGGAAAAAACTGTACCTCCAGTGTCCTCCAATGATTGGAACATGAGCATTCACAATAGAGGGCTCTAGAAGGAAATAACTTGTTTTAACATGGACATCGCCTTTGAGGGCGTCCACCATTTTAAAAAAATTAGTCAACTGGGTTGGGAATCCTATGGGTTGGATTCCCTTATGGATCAGAGCATCGTCTTCTTCAAATTTGATCGCCTTTTGGTTTGTAAATGTCTTTTTAAGCTATATATCACTGCCATCTAGTGGCCACAATAGATTTGACGCACAAGATTTGGTTCAGGAGTCCAGCAGGTGGCGGTAAATAATCCAATATTGGCTTGACACTTTTTTACAATCACAATAGAAGAAGAAAATGGAGATGAGCCTCACATGGCAACAGACACAAAGATAAGTCATATTTCTATCTTTAATGGATGCGACAGAAGGGACAACCAACGTCCTCCCTAACGTTCCCACTGGATTCTCTAACAGGGTCTCTCTCTCTCTCTCTCTCTGTTCATGTCTGTTCCCCCAGGTAAGGAAGACGTTCTTTACGTTGGCGTTCTGTGATTTTTGCCGGAAGCTTCTGTTCCAGGGGTTCCGATGTCAGACGTGTGGCTATAAGTTCCACCAGCGCTGCAGCACAGAGGTGCCGCTCATGTGCGTCAACTACGACCAGCTGGAGTAAGTTATCGATCGAAATGAATCGTTTTTAAGTCATTGGAGAAGAGGGGGGGGGGGGTGGGGGATGGGAAGTTGGTGTTGAGTTATGTCATTCTGTAGGTTGCAAGCAAGTATTGTTTGAGACTGAAGTTAGCGTGATCTGTCCCCGAGACTGAAGTTGGACACCAGCTTATTGCTAGTATCCAAGTTATTTTTAGTTTTTGTATGTGTGTGGTGTAGGGGGGGGGGGGTAAAAGCAAAAGACAAATGAAAGTATATCTTAATGTTCAGTTCTAACCTGTATGTTGGGTCTGGTTGGGTCTGCAGTTTGTTGCTGGTGTCCAAGTTCTTTGAGCACCACCCCATCACCCAGGAGGAGGTGTCATCAGAGGGCACCACCCCCGTGTCCGAGGTCTGCCCCTCACTGCCCCCGTCCGACTCCACTGGGTGAGTTAAACCTAACCCTGACCTCTAATCCTAACCCATGTGACCGTGGCCTACCCTTCACTGCCCCCGTCCGACTCCACTGGGTGAGTTAAACCTAACCCTGACCTCTAATCCTAACCCATGTGACCGTGGCCTACCCTTCACTGCCCCCGTCCGACTCCACTGGTGGAGTTAAACCTAACCCTGACCTCTAATCCTAACCCATGTGACCGTGGCCTACCCTTCACTGCCCCCGTCCGACTCCACTGGGTGAGTCTCACACCTGAGAACTGTCTGACACCTGTCCTGATCCCATTCTCACCTCAGCACAGTTGAAGGAAAGGAGGTGAGGAAAGGAAGCCATTTAAGACTACTGCAGCACAGCCTTGATAATCTCATATCTCCTTGCTAGATTCAACGTAGACTGGACTCTCTGCTAATGCTGTGCCAAATGTCCCCAGTGAGATGGACCCACCCTGTCCTCCCCTCTTAACCTCTGTCTAACCTCCAGGTCCCTGTGCCACACCAGTGTGTCCCCGTCCAAGTCCATCCCCCAGAGTTTCAACCCCCATCCTCTCTGACCCCTGACCTCTCTCTCTGACCCCCAGGTCCCTGTGCCACACCAGTGTGTCCCCGTCCATCCCCCAGAGTTTCAACCCCCATCCTCTCTGACCCCTGACCTCTCTCTCTGACCCCCAGGTCCCTGTGCCACACCAGTGTGTCCATGTCCATCCCCCAGAGTTTCAACCCCCATCCTCTCTGACCCCTGACCTCTCTCTCTGACCCCCAGGTCCCTATGCCATGTCAGTGTGTCCCCGTCCAAGTCCATCCCCCAGAGTTTCAACCCCCATCCTCTCTGACCCCTGACCTCTCTCTCTGACCCCCAGGTCCCTGTGCCATGCCAGTGTGTCCCCGTCCAAGTCCCCCTTCCCGATCCCCCAGAAGTTTCAACCCCATCCTCTCTGACCCTGACCTCTCTCTCTGGACCCCAGGTCCCTGTGCCACAGTGGTCCCGTCCATCCCCGTCCCATCCTCTCTGACCCATGAACCTCCTCTGACCCCAGTCCCTTGCCATGCGTGTGTCCCGTCCATCCCCGCACCCATCCTCTCGACCCCTGACCTCTCTGACCCCAGGTCCTGTGCCACGCCAGTGTGTCCCCAGTCCATCCCCCAGAGTTTAACCCCCATCCATCTCTGACCCCTGACCTCTCTCTCTGACCCCAGGTCCCTGTGCCACGCCAGTGTGTTCCTCCCCCAGTTTCAACCCCCATCCTCTCTGACCCCTGACCTCTCTCTCTGACCCCCAGGTCCCTGTGCCATGCCATGTCCGTCCCCGTCCCCAGTCCATCCCCAATTTCACCCCCATCCACTCTGACCCCTGACCTCTCTCTCTGACCTCCAGGTCCCTGTGCCATGCCAGTGTGTCCCCGTCCAAATCCATCCCCCAGAGTTTCAACCCCCATCCTCTCTGACCCCTGACCTTTCTCTCTGACCTCCAGGTCCCTGTGCCACACCAGTGTGTCCCCGTCCAAGTCCATCCCCCAGAGTTTCAACCCCCATCCTCTCTGACCCCTGACCTCTCTCTGATCTCCAGGTCCCTGTGCCATGCCAGTGTGTCCCCATCCATCCCCCAGAGTTTCAACCCCCATCCTCTCTGACCCCTGACCTCTCTCTCTGACCCCCAGGTCCCTGTGCCACGCCAGTGTGTCCCCGTCCAAGTCCATCCCGATCCCCCAGAATTTCAGGCCCGGAGAAGAGGACCACAGGAACCAGTTTGGCCAGAGAGACCGCTCCTCCTCCGCTCCCAATGTCCATATCAACACCATCGAACCCGTCAACATAGACGTGAGTCCACCATCCCTTCTGTCTGGGTCTGATAGCTCAGACACTGCCCCCCGCTGGAGACAAGTAGTACTGCTACTGTAGAATGTTTATCTGCCAGCGCTGGTAAAAGGCTTCTTGTGAATGGGGTGCTCATCCGGGTGCTTGGCTAAATACAACAGAACCGTATTAAGTCATACTTAAAAAGGGAACTGACAGCATTTTAGCAAAATTAAATCTAATTTGAAATCTGTTCATATACACCCCCAAATATGTATATACCAGGTAGTCCTCTTACATTTGGGAACTTTACAGTCCTATTGATCAAACAACCATGAAAAGGTAGCCACCTCTCTCCCTCAGTTATGAACATCAACAACAAAAAGATTAACAACTAATGCTAGCCAGAGAAATATGAGCTAACATATAACGAAGGAACTTTAGACAAACCCTCTCTAACTTTTTCAGCTAGTGGGCCGTCAAAATTGCACTGATAAACGAAGGGGAATTGTAGCCTCCTCGCCCTTCCGCAGCTTGCCTGCCAATGCATGCTGGTCCCAACCAAGCACCCAAAGCTAACTGGCTAATGTTGGCTAGCTTGCTAACTAGCTACTTCCAGACACAAATGAGAGAACACCTTACTCTGACCATTTTGACTCGTCCTAGCAGAGCTGGTTAGGCTGTTTACATGTTATCTAGAGCGTTTGTGACTAACTTACTTTTTTGCCTACGTTTACTGGCACGGTCATATTCAGCGGATGTTGCGCGGTCATAATTTCATCGGTTATTCTGCGCTCTGAATCGGCGAACGCAAGAGATATGCTAACTGGATAGCAGTCGTTCAAGTTCTTGCTAGCTAACCAAATGACACCTGCATCTCTAGCTGTGTATAGCCACCGAAAAACGATGTGAGGGGGAAAAGTCAGTCACTCGCCCACTCCTCCAATGACATGACATCCTCCGAGCAGCTAGCTAGCTAACGTTAGGCTCCGTGTTTTTAGCTTGATACATAAATAGATACGCTAGCCTATTAGCCATGTTATGACTGTAAAATGACTGACTTGTGATCATTGCCCTTGCTAGTTTGATTGTATTGACAATCCCAGCCTTAGTTACATTCGTCCGTTTTTGTCCAAAATATTGAGCCATTGAAACTGAAACAGTGCATCCCGAATGGAGGCTGCAAACAATGTACCAGGCCAGCTGTGATTTACAACTTGTAAGCAATATTTATTGGACTACCAAGCAATGTATTGGTTTATTATATTAATCATGCATTGAACTGCATCCATCTATTCTGCCAACAATTCCTTAGTGTACGTCATGAAACGTTGAGTCAAATATAACCTATTTTTAAAACGTCTTATAAAGTTGGTTTTGTAGCATAAACTGGGAATTTGATATTTTTTACTGATATTACGATTGTCTGTTTCATATCTGCCAAGTAGTTAAAACGCTGTCAGTTCCACTTGAAGTGTTATATCAAGATGTAACACAATCTGTAGTGTTGGTCTGGAATCTAGATGACTAGCAGTCTTCACATGTGGATTCTCTTTTCTCTTTCTTTCTCTCTCTCTCTCTTTCTCTCTCTCTCGCTCTCTCTCCTCTCTCGTCTCTCCTCTCTCAATCATCCCTCGTCTCTCTCATCTCTCTCTGCTTCTCTCGTCTCTCTCTCTCTGTCTCTCTCTCTCTCTCTCTCTCTCTCTCTCTCTCTCTCTCTCTCTCTCTCTCTCTCTCTCTCTCTCTCTCTCTCTCTCTCTCTCTCTCTCTCTCTCTCTCTCTCTCTCAGGACTTGATTCGAGACCAAGGTTTACAGAGGTCAGAAGGAGGTAAGGAAACTGATCATCATCATCATCAGGACTGTCATTCAATCAACAAGTCTTCCTCCCACCCTGCGTCTGCGTTCTCTTGTGTCTTACGAAGCCCTAGAAGCTCATTTTGTCCAGTCTGACTTCAATTTCTACACGATGCATATTCAGAATATTTGTCCTTAGACTGTAAAACAGTGGCTCTGGAGACTTCCCCTTTAAGAGAGCCGTCTACCCTTTATTTCCCCTGACGTTCTCTGATTCCACTGCCCATCCCATGCTCCCTCTGGAAGAGTGTACACTACTTACTATGGGCCAGTCTCAAATGGTAAACTACTCCGTATCTAGTGCACTACTTTTGGCCAGTGATAATGTGTGTGTGGGGAAAAAAAAAACTCCTTAACTTTCTACTGGTCCTTCGAGACAGATTTTGTACACTATTCCCCCTCATTTGCACTCATTGGGGCTGTGGCCAAAAGTAGGGCGCGACACAGCATCTGGGCGGCCATATTGGATCGGGCCTACAGTAGGTACCGTAGAGAAGTGGGGTCAGGTGGGTCCAGTAAGCCTGTCTTCAGGGCCAGTGATCCTGCTGTGTGTCTCTCTCCCCCCCCCCTTCCCCCCTGCAGCCCCCCCCTTGCAGACTCACCCACCCGCCCGCTGCTTGAGGAAGCACCGAACACGGACCTCAAGCCCCCTCCTATACTCCTACCCCAATGACATAGTCTTTGATTTTGAGTCCGAGCCTGTGTTCCGAGGTAGCTAGGCCTCTGTGTGGTGTGTGTATTGTGTGTGTGTGTATTGTGTGTGTGTATTGTGTGTGTGTATTGTGTGTGTGTGTGTGTGTATTGTGTGTGTGTGTATTGTGTGTGTGTGTATTGTGTGTGTGTGTATTGTGTGTGTGTGTATTTTGTGTGTGTGTATTTTGTGTGTGTGTGTATTGTGTGTCCTCACCTGCCACCTGTGTTTTGGCCTCGTCTGTCTGTCTGTCTCTGTCTCTGTCTCTGTCTCTGTCTCTGTCTCTGTCTCTGTCTCTGTCTCTGTCTCTGTGTCTGTCTCTGTGTCTGTCTGTCTGTGTTTCACTCTTTCCTTACGTTTTCTCTCACTATCATGATCCCTCACACTGCCACTACCGCCCCCCCTCTGCTTCCAAAAACTCTCATTTGGGAGGCTATACTTGTGTGTCTCAGGGCCTGTATCCACAAAGCGTCTCAGAGTAGGAGTGGCGATCTAGGATCTGTCCATATATTCTCATTCATTATGATCTAAAAGGGAGAACTGATCCTAGATCTGAGAGACCCTGATCAGGGACTAGTGAAGTGCACTATAGATGTATAGAACATTTTCTAAATGTCCTCAGAACTGACTTACCAAGAACAGGGAGATTTATCAGCTGCAGTTGATAGTGTAATGTATTAACTACCCGGCTGCAGTTGATAGTGTAATGTATTAACTACCCGGCTGCAGTTGATAGTGTAATGTATTAACTACCCGGCTGCAGTTGATAGTGTAATGTATTAACTACCCGGCTGCGGGTTGATAGTGTAATGTATTAACTACCCGGCTGCAGTTGATAGTGTAATGTATTAACTACCCGGCTGCAGTTGATAGTGTAATGTATTAACTACCCGGCTGCAGTTGATAGTGTAATGTATTAACTACCCGGCTGCAGTTGATAGTGTAATGTATTAACTACCCGGCTGCAGTTGATTTTGATAGTGTTAATGTATTAACTACCCGGCTGCAGTTGATAGTAATGTAGTAACTACCCGGCTGCAGTTGATAGTTTAATGGTATAACTACCCGGCTGCAGTTGATAGTGTAATGTATTAACTACCCGGCTGCAGTTGATAGTGTAATGTATTAACTACCCGGCTGCGGTTGATAGTGTAATGTATTAACTACCCGGCTGCGGTTGATAGTGTAATGTATTAACTACCCGGCTGCAGTTGATAGTGTAACGTATTAACTACCCGGCTGCAGTTGATAGTGTAATGTATTAACTACCCGGCTGCAGTTGATAGTGTAATGTATTAACTACCCGGCTGCAGTTGATAGTGTAATGTATTAACTACCCGGCTGCGGTTGATAGTGTAATGTATTAACTACCCGGCTGCGGTTTGATAGTGTATGTATTAACTACCCGGCTGCAGTTGATAGTGTAACGTATTAACTACCCGGCTGCAGTTGATAGTGTAATGTATTAACTACCCGGCTGCAGTTGATAGTGTAATGTATTTAACTACCCGGCTGCAGTTGATAGTGTAATGTATTAACTACCCGGCTGCAGTTGATAGTGTAATGTATTAACTACCCGGCTGCAGTTGATAATGTAATGTATTAACTACCCGGCTGCAGTTGATAATGTAATGTATTAACTACCCGGCTGCAGTTGATAGTGTAATGTATTAACTACCCGGCTGCAGTTGATAGTGTAATGTATTAACTACCCGGCTGCAGTTGATAATGTAATGTATTAACTACCCGGCTGCAGTTGATAATGTAATGTATTAACTACCCGGCTGCAGTTGATAGTGTAATGTATTAACTACCCGGCTGCAGTTGATAGTGTAACGTATTAACTACCCGGCTGCAGTTGATAGTGTAACGTATTAACTACCCGGCTGCAGTTGATAATGTAATGTATTAACTACCCGGCTGCAGTTGATAGTGTAATGTATTAACTACCCGGCTGCAGTTGATAGTGTAATGTATTAACTACCCGGCTGCAGTTGATAGTGTAATGTATTAACTACCCGGCTGCAGTTGATAGTGTAATGTATTAACTACCCGGCTGCAGTTGATAGTGTAATGTATTTAACTACCCGGCTGCGGTTGATAGTGTAATGTATTTAACTACCCGGCTGCAGTTGATAGTGTAATGTATTAAACTACCCGGCTGCAGTTGATAGTGTAATGTATTAAACTACCCGGCTGCAGTTGATAGTGTAATGTATTTAACTACCCGGCTGCGGTTGATAGTGTAATGTATTAACTACCCGGCTGCAGTTGATAGTGTAATGTATTTAACTACCCGGCTGCGGTTGATAGTGTAATGTATTTAACTACCCGGCTGCAGTTGATAGTGTAATGTATTTAACTACCCGGCTGCAGTTGACAGTGTAATGTATTAACTACCCGGCTGCAGTTGATAGTGTAATGTATTAACTACCCGGCTGCGGTTGATAGTGTAATGTATTTAACTACCCGGCTGCAGTTGATAGTGTAATGTATTTAACTACCTTCCAGTAGGTTTTTGTCTTTTTTAATTCAATATTGGAAGCCACATTGAGATGTATTGGTTATAAAGTAGAGGATGAGGTTAAAGTACTACATTACCCAGAGTTCTCTACTGCACCAGCCCCCCCCCCCCCCCCCCCCTTCCACACACCGCTGACACTGATGGTTTCTCGGAACTGATGGCTTCTACGGTTGTGGCTGGATGGACAATTAACATAGCAGGTTAGGAGAATTAGGTTAAGGGTTAGGAAAAGGGTTAGGCTTAGGTAAAATGTAGAAGCCATCAGTTCTAAGAAACCATCAGTGTCACCACACCTCCACCTCCAATCACCACCAGGACGCAACACCTCACAGGCTTCCCTCAACCCTCCTGTTCTCTGAAACCCAGTCTATGGCCCAATCCCAAATAGACCCCAGGACCCTATGCCAAGGGTCCCCAATTACATTCAGCCGTGGGACGATTTTTCCTTGAGCTGATGGTAAGGGGGCGCCGGAACATGGTTATAAATCATTTGTACACTGCAAATTGACCGCAAGAATCCCAAACAGATATAATATTTGAGAAAAACTGAATAATTTCAAACCTTGATTACATTGGGATATACGATCACATATCCCTCTATATTTATGCATTGGAATACTTGGGACAGATTTCCGAAATTAAATCACGTTGAGCTCATTTTCTGGTGATTTTAGTCTTTTGTCCAAGAATGAAAATTATAGATAAAAATAATACAAAATATTTTTGCTCTGAACATTTTGGGGCCAAATAAAATCACCGCGGGCCGCTTATAGGGGAACCCTGCCCTGTGATTGACCCCTAGACCCTACGCCCTATGATTGACCCCTAGACCCTACGCCCTGTGATTGACCCCTAGACCCTATGATTGACCCCTAGACCCTACGCCCTATGATTGACCCCTAGACCCTACGCCCTATGATTGACCCCTAGACCCTACGCCCTATGATTGACCCCTACGCCCTATGATTGACCCCTAGACCCTGTGATTGACCCCTAGACCCTGTGATTGACCCCTAGACCCTGTGATTGACCCCTAGACCCTACGCCCTATGATTGACCCCTAGACCCTACGCCCTATGATTGACCCCTAGACCCTACGCCCTATGATTGACCCCTAGACCCTATACCCTATGATTGACCCCTAGACCCTACGCCCTGTGACCCCTAGACCCTAGACCCTGTGATTGACCCCTAGACCCTACGCCCTATGATTGACCCCACCTAGACCCCTACGCCCTATGATTGACCCCTAGACCTACGCCCTTGATTGACCCCTAGACCCTACGCCACCTGAGTGATTGACCCTAGACCCTACGCCCTATGATTGACCCCTAGACCCTACGCCCTATGATTGTGACCCCTGATGACCCCCTACGCCCTATGATTGACCCCTAGACCCTACGCCCTATGATTGACCCCTAGACCCTACGCCCTGTGATTGACCCCTAGACCCTACGCCCTTGATTGACCCCTAGACCTACGCCCTGTGATTGACCCCTAGACCCTACGCCTATGATTGACCCCTAGACCCTACGCCCTGTGATTGACCCCTAGACCCTATGATTGACCCCTAGACCCTACGCCCTGTGATTGACCCCTAGACCCTACGCCCTGTGATTGACCCCTAGACCCTACGCCCTATGATTGACCCCTAGACCCTACGCCCTATGATTGACCCCTAGACCCTACGCCCTATGATTGACCCCTAGACCCTACGCCCTATGATTGACCCCTAGACCCTACGCCCTATGATTGACCCCTAGACCCTACGCCCTATGATTGACTGACCTACGCCCTATGATTGACCCCTAGACCCTACGCCCTATGATTGACCCCTAGACCCTACGCCCTATGATTGACCCTAGACCCTACGCCCTGTGATTGACCCCCTATATGACCCTACGCCCTTGATTGACCCCTAGACCCTACGCCCTATGATTGACTACCCTAGCCCTATGATTGACCCCTAGACCTACGCCTATGATTGACCCCTAGACCTATGATTGACCCCTAGACCCTACGCCCTATGATTGACCCCTAGACCCTACGCCCTATGATTGACCCCTAGACCCTATGATTGACCCCTAGACCCTATACCCTATGATTGACCCCTACGCCCTATGATTGACCCCATGCACTTGTGGAGATCTGATATATTTTTGACAGGTGGAAGCAATATGGTAATAGTTCCAGCCTGTCCTCTGATTGGCTAGGTGGAAGTTTCACTATTTTGTTTTAGATCCATCAAATAATCTCATGGGGTCTAGGGGTCGATCCCAGGGCATAGGGTCTAGGGGTCAATTTGGGATTGGGTTTATCCCTTCTCTCTTTCACTCAAACCCTGGCGGCCTCTTCCTCCTCTTCCTCTTCCTCATCATCTTCCTCCTCTTCATCCTCTTCTTCCTCCTCTTCCTCTTCTTCCTCTTCTTCCTCTTCCTCCTCTTCCTCCGCTTCCTCCTGCCTTCTGTTTGTCCTCTGTTTCTTCTCATCCTCATCTTTCTGTT